ATTTCAAAATTTCAACATGTGCCAGGCGTGGTGGCTCACGCCTGTAATCCCAGCACTCTGGGAGGCTGAGGCAGATGGATTGCTGCAAGTTTGAGGTCAGCCTGGGCTACTTAGTGAGTTTAAGGTCAGCCTGGACTACACAGCAAGATCCTGTCTCAAAACAAACAAACAAGGGCTGGGGATGTAGATCAGCGGCACCATGCCGGCCTGGCAAGCACAAGGTCCTGAGTTTGATCCCGCCTAAAACAAAACAAAACAAAACAAACAAACAAAAAATCAACTATATATATATATATGTATGTATATATATATATATATTTTGGTAACAGAGATATGTGCTTTGGTGATCATCAGAAGACTTTCAAGCATAAGCATAAGCATATATTATTTCGTAGTTAGCTTTCTGAGAAGACAGTGTAGTTCAGATACAAATATAAGGAGAAAAAAGGACAATGTAAAACCTCTGCTAATGAATGTGAAGTGTACTCATTTTTTCAAAGGATGGTTGTATCAAATCATTGCAGGATTAGAGTCTTTCTTATGCAGTAGCAGTTTTACTTTAAAATGTCAATATTGGGCCAGGGATGTAGCTCAGTGGCACTGTGCCTGCTTGGCAAGCTTAAGGTCCTGAGTTCGATTCCCTATACCGGAAAAATAAATAAGCAAATAAAGTAAAATGTCAATATCTATAAAACACTAGAAATTATATCGATCCTCTGCAATGATTAAATTTTAAAGTAATGAAAAATATTAGATGTCACTTAATAATATGCAAGGAGGAGCTGGGGATTTAGCTCAGTGGTTTTGCCGCTTGTTGTGCAAGCACAAGGACCCGAGTTTGATCCCATGTACCAAAAAAAAAAAAAGAAAGAAAGAACATTTTTAGGGGGCAGGAGAAGATATTTTTCTGATCCTTTAATCCCAAGGTTAGAACGTAACTTCTCTCCTTTCCAACTTGCTGAAGGACAGCGTATCCTGTCTTCCACGTCCTCAGAGTCATGACCTGGGCGCCACGCGGGGAGCACAGCTATTGTGGTCCCAGATCCGTCCGTCCGTCGGTCTGTCTGTCTGGTTTGACTGTGAGGAAGGGTGGGGTGGTGGATCTGGTGTGCAGGAGGTGTGTTAGACCCTCTTGCCAGAGAGCGCAGGCTCCGGAAGTGGCTGACAAAAGTTGCTTCTCTGATCCTCGCTCGCTCGGCTGAGGGAGAGGAAGAGGCCTCGCCAAGCAGGCTGCCTGAAGGAGGCTGCAGCGGCGCCACCTGCTGGCCAGAGCGGGACACGGACGCGGCGAAGACGGCCGAGGACTTCGGAGCCGTTCCGGCCGTTCCACTTGGCCCTGGGAGTTACTCGGTTGCTCAATGATTGGGCATCAGAGTGGTTCGGATAGCTGAAGTTCTGGCTGGCCTGGGAAGGGCTGCAGAGGCTTGGTAGGGACCAGCTTGTCCCACTCAGCTGTCCCTAAGTCAAGACGAAGACTAAGGGAAGCTGCTTCAGCCTGGGCTTGTGATTCAAGTACCAGACTGAAGTAAACAGAACAGGACTTTCTTTGTCTTTATTTTTTGTTTGGTTTTGTTTTGGTACCGGGGATCGAACTCAGGTCCTTGAGCTTACGCAGCAGGCGGCGAAACCACTGAGCTAAATCCCCGGCCCAGAACAGGACTTTCTTAGTAGAATATAGGGGAGCTTTTTAAACAGTCGCGAGGCTGAGTGAGGCAGTTTGCAGGCTGTGTAGGCAGGAGCAACACCCACGTCAGGCTCCACAGCAGGAGGCACCGTGGCCAAGCCTGATACAGACGATGCTGGGTGTCACCTGGTTCCGCAGACTGCTTCTACAGCTGCTGCCACAGCTGTGCGTGGACAGGACCGGGAGCTGCCGCTGCCTCTTGCAGAATGGATTCTGCGTGCTCCCTAGTTCTTCAGCCACCCAGCTTCCCATGTGTCTGACTGGTGGAGCCCCAACCTCGTGGCTGTGCTGCAGCTGCAAAGGAGGCTGGCAGCCAAGGCCTGACACTTGCAGCCACCAAGGTGAAGGGAGAGTCTAGAGTGGAAGATGTGCTGGGTGTGGTGGTGCACATCTGCAATCCCAGCACTCAGGAGGCTGAGGCAGGAGGGTCACCCTGAGTATGAGGCCAGCATGGGCCACATAGTGAGTTCAAGGCCAGCCTGGGCTACATAGCAAGACCCTGTATCAAAACAAAACAAAACAAAACAAAACTCACACAAAAAACAAGAGAAGCCTTGGAGAGGACAGATACACACACCATGGTGCATTCTGAGGCCAACAGTCTTGTGGTAAAGGGAGCCAGAGCTGTTTTATATGAGAAGCCAGGGGTGTGGCACCTTGCAAAAGAACCCATGTAAGGGTACAGGGCCACATGTCAAAAGGGCTCTTTGGAGGAAAATCATTGGATTTAGTTTACCTCCAAGGGATAGAGTGAAGATTACTGGGTAGGAAGGAGCACCAGGGAATAAAATTCTTTGCCCAGTGTAAGGAGGTATTTTCTTTTTTCTTTTTTTTCTTTTTTTCTTTTCTGGTACTGGGGGTCGAACTCAGGACCTTAGACTTTCGAAGCAGGCAGCGGCACCACTGAGCTAAATCCCCAGCCCTTGTTTTGTTTTTTGAGACAGAGTCTCACTATGTAGCTCAGGCTGGCCACGAACTCGTGGTGGGATTACAGGCATGTCCCACCACACCTGACTAGGAAATTTTTTTTTTTTTAATTTTTTTCTCTTGGTGATGCTGGGGATCGAACCCAGGGCCTTGTGCATGTAATGGAAGAGCTCTACCACTGACCCACATCCCCAGCCCTAAGAAATATTTTCAATATAAAGTTTTGAGTTTTTTTCTTCTTTGTTTACTACATGATATACCATCAGAAGGATACAATGTAATTTACCTAAACATTTCTCTGTTGTTGTAGCTCCATTTTTGTTGTTGTTTTAGATATCACAGAGCTGGGGGAGACAGCATCTGCCTGTAGTTCCTGTAACTCAGCAAGCTGAAGCAGGAAGATCACTTGAACCCAAGAGTTCCAGGCCACCCTGGATAATATTGCAAGACCCCATCTCAAAAATAAATAAATAAATAAATAAACAAAGCTGCTGTGGCTCACACCTGTAAATCCCAAAACTCTGGGAAGCTGAGGGAGGAGAATTACAAATCCCAGCCATGCCTGGGCAAATTAGCAGTTTAGCAAGACCCTGTCTCAAAGTAAAAAATAAAAAAGGGTGTAGCTCAGTATGAAGGCCCTGGGTTCAATCCCAGTATTGCAAAATAAATAAATATTGCAGTATTTTAAAGCCTTTATTTAGGGTTATTTACTAAACTCTGTATTTAGGGCTATTTCTTCAAAACAGATTACCCAAAGTGATATTACAGGGTCTAATCATGAGTGAGTTACATAGTGAGTTCAAGGGCAGTCCAAACTACACGGTGCCCTTTCTCAACACCCTCCGCCATTAACACCTTCATAATACTCCTAGAATTTTCTTTTTTTTGGTACCGGAGATCGAACTCAGGTCCTTGCGACTCCTAGAATTTCCTTTAGCAAAGGAGCTGTCATTATTAGGGGGAAAGCCTTTTAGAGGTAAAAGGTGAGATTTTCAGGGGATGAGTGTTAGCAGGAGCACATCATGCAGTTCAGGGTGGTTTTGAACTCACTATGTAGCTCAAACTGGCCTTGAGCTTGAAATGATCCTCCTGTCTCAGCCTCCTGAGTGCAGGGATTATAGGCATGTGCCATCACACCCAGGTAGGTGTCCCTTTCTGCTTGGAAAGCTGGGGCAATTTGTGTTTCCTCCAGGGAGAGTGGGACAGAGGACTGAAAGGTAGGGCAGGGAGGAGACTCTCAAGAGAAGGCCAGGGCCTAGGGCTGAAAGGTCAGCGAGAGAATTTGAGTGTGTGTGTGTGTGTGTGTGAAGGACTTTAAAGAAGTGGGTGAGTTCACGCTGTCTGTCCTGTATCCCATGATCCTGCCTGGCGTCTCCTAAGGTCTCCTGTGCTCAGTGGGGTTTGTGCGGGAAGAGGCGTGGGCCGTTTTCTGGAAGGGCTGTTTCATCTTTAGATTCTGAACTGTGCTAGCGCAGCAGCCTGGCAGAAGCAGGAGCGAAGGAGCAGCCGTATTCAGAACGCAAGTCTCTGGAACTTGCAGAAATCTGAGGGAGGGATTTGATGTTCACAGTTTGTTTCTACTACAGTCTCATACGGGAAGCAGTTGACATCCAAATTTAAAAATCGATCCAGTTCCTTTCAAAAATGGGAAACAAGAGAAGCAGAAATTAGTGTTCCACCGTCCAGAAAGCTGAGGCCCTGCTGCCTAAGGAGTGGGGTCAGAGGCTGGGCGGTTCCCAGTGCAGGTGGAGGGCGGGGTTACTCCTTGGTCACACGCCTGAGAGTCATGTTTTGCTCATTTTCAGATGACAAATCCAAGTTCTTCCAATAAACTGCCTCCTGGGCTGCTCTTCCCTCCATTTATTAGGATGCACAATAAATACATGGGAATTGGTACCTTCTTTTGGTTTATTTTGAGACAGAGTCTTACTAAGTCGCTAAATTGCCCAGGTTGGGCTCCAACTTGTGATGTCCTCCTGCCTCAGCCTCCTAGAGTGCTGAAATTACAGTCCCCCTCCACTCCTTAAGATAGGGACGGGTTGGAATAATAGATCCTTTCCAAGGTCCTAAGGACAAGTAAAGTTTGCTGACTGGAGGGATGAGGAGGCGCACTAAACGACCTCTGGTGTTCCCTTCCAGCTTTGAATTTCCTTCTCCGAGACTTGCAGGACTGGTTTGACGCGCCTGGCGTTCCTCGACTCCTCCCGAGCGCTCCTTCGGCAGCTGTGCCTGCATCCCACGCTAGAGGACGCTGCCGGCGGGCCCAGGGCAGCGTGCGAGGGGCGGGGCGCAGAAATCAGGGGAGTCTCCGGGAAGCGGTGATTGGCCGCGGCGGGGCGGAAGAGGGCGGGGAGGGGGCGGGTCGAGCTGCGCGGTGGCGTCACGCTGGCGGGGGCGGGGCCTGCCCCGGAGCGTGTGACGCCGCGGAGCTGAGGATTAATGGGAAAAGTTTTGGCAGGAGCGGGCGGATTCTGCGGAGCCTGCGGGACTGCTGCGGCGTCGCGGGGGGCGGCGGGACAGGTCAGTCGGGGTCGGGGCGGTGGCGGGCCCGGGGCGCAGGCCCACGGGGAGCGGCGGGAGCCAGCTCGGGCAGCGCCCTCCTCGCCGGCGCCTCGCGTGCGGCCCGGACCCCGGCCTGGCGCCCACGCGCGGCTGCTGCAGCCCTGGCGGCGCCCGCTCCCACCGGCCCTGCGCCCCTGCGCGGCCTCCGGGCCTCGTCTGCTTCCACGCAGAGAGCCAGTCCCTGTCTGGAGGTCCCCACCCCTCTTTGGTGTCCCCACATCCTCGCCCCCCCGAGTCCCCGCGGGGCTCCTCCGTCCCCTGCCTCATTCTCCCATCCCTGCCCGCTGCCTTCTCTCTCTCTTTCCCCCTCTTCCCACCCCTCTGCCCGCTTCTGTTGCCCATTACTCCCCTCTCCTCCTCCCTCGGGTGTTGGGAAGCTCTTCCTGTCCCGTGCCTGCCGTCCCTGTTGCCTAAGCGTCTCCACCCTGGCCACGGACAGTGGCCCTGTTTCTGCCCCTCCGGTTTCCTTCGTGTCAGCCCTGTCCCCGCCGTTGGTGACACCCACCCCCTCTCCAGTTCCGCGCCTGTCCTCGGGGAGGAGCGTGGGTCCCACCTGCAGCTGAGACGCCCGCGGGGCGGGGTGGGCGTGTCGGGCGAGCCCGGCGCTCCGTGTGTTTGCCTGTGAGATCATTTCCTAGGGTCTGCATCAGGGACAGTGTCCAATTTGTAGGCCGGTCTTCTCATCTCAGCTTTAATACTTCCTCTTTAGGAGGCTGTCGACTTCCTTGAACCCTTGAGGGGAGACTGTGCCGAGTTGGGTCTGTGCCAGGGGTAGCCGGAGGCCGCATCCAGCTCCTTTCCCCTTCCAGGATAAGGGATTCAGTGTCTTTTCACTTGGGATACATGGAGCACGTTTCAACCATGATCCGCTCTGTTCTGGCTGCCACCTTTCACATTCTGCCCTATCCCATAGATCTAAGAACAATCTCCAGAAACTTACGCCCCAGAGAATGAATGCCTGTAGTCCTCAACCCTTTACCTCTGTACTGGCTCCAGAACATTTCTTTTTCTTTTTCTGTTAGAGTTTTGAAATAGATTGCTGGCCTGCTAGCCCCAGGCTCCCGGCATGTGTCCCTTTGATTATTGGTGGCTTCAACCAGCTGCTGATTTTCTCTTGTGTATCTTTGGTGTGTGTATGTGGTTTTTTTGTAGGTTTTTTGGTACCGGGATCGAACTCGGGACCTTGCACTTTCGAGGCAGGCGGCGGAACCACTGAGCTAAATCCCCGGCCCCTCTTGTATATCTTTGAGTAAATGTTCCTCTGATGATAGTCACTGAATTGGTTCTCTTGGAATCCCTTCTCCCTCCTTTTTCCTAGGGAGTGGAATTTCCTGTGGATCCGAGAGGGAGGCTGACCCTGTGCCTCCGTTCCCTTTGCCCAGAGTGGGGCACTGGGTTAATGCCTGCCTAGGGAGGTTGTGGGTCTGGTCTTTGAGGATCACTCTGTCTTTGAGCCAGAACGGGCCACGGCATTGATACTAGCACTGGCAGCCTTCAGGAGCTGAGGCGAGGGCCACTAAACCACTCAGCCAGGCTGCACTCTGCTGTCCGCCTCTTCTGTGAAAGCCGTAGGGGCGTGGGTGTCCTGTTATTGATCAGGTCCCCTTTCCACTGCCGCCCAGCCCCGTCTGTGCAGCACTTTGGGGGATTTGGGCAGAATGGACTGGAAGCACCCTCTGGGGTTTTAGTGGATCACTCTAGAGAGGCTGGGTGTTTGGTAGTAACTTGGTCCACTCTGATTCCCAGGAGAGATTTTACCTGATTCTCTTGAGAAGTTTGCTGCTCCTGTCTTTTGTTTTTTTTTCAAACCCTGAAAAACTAGGACCTTTGCACTGAGCTACATCCCCACCCTTTTTATATTTTTTATTTTGGGAGTCATGCATGCTAAGTTACCCAGGCTGTAACTTTGAACTTGTGATCCTTCTGCCTCAGCCTCCTAGAGTGCTGGGATTACAGGTATGCACTGCCACTCCCAGCTTGCTGTTCCTGTCTTCGCTCACCTGTTAGTGGTGTTCTGCTGAGGTGGCTGCTCAGAGGATTTGAGCTCAGGGCAAGTCCAGCCCTTGGGGAGGAGCTGGGACCCTGGCAGCTCTGGGCGGATAGCGTGGCACAGCTGGACCCCTGTGTGGGCTTCTCTGTGGGTAGCTGTGCTCATCCATTACCAGAGCCCTCTTCAGAGGTTTTTGTAGTGTTTGGCCTCTGTTTCTTTTTCTTTTCTTCCTCCTCCTCCTCTTCTTCTTCTTCCTCTTCCTCTTCCTCTCCTTCTCCTTCTCCTTCTCCTCCTCCCCCTCCTCCCCCTTTCTTCTTTCTTCTTCTTTCTTCTCTTCTTCTTTTTTTTTTGAGACAGGGTCTTGCTGTGTAGTTCAGGCTGGCCTTGGACTCACTACATAGCCCAGGCTGGCCCCAGACTCGAAATGATCCTCCTGCCTCAGCCTCCCAAGTGCTGGGATTACAGGTGTGCAGCATCACGCCTAGCCTGTGGCCTGTCTGCGGTGTGAGCAGACAGATCCCTGACTGTACAGTCCCAAAGGTCCAGCCTGTCAGCTCAGTGCTGAAGAGACCGCCCTTTCCCTCACCATTTGTCTTTGCTGCTTTCTTGGCACTGCCTCAGCCTGCCCTCCTCGACTTCCAGCTCCTCCTGTGGTCCCTGTGCCCTTTCCTGGGCGTTGGACAGGATGCATGCCCATCTCCTGGGTGAGTTGGTGAGGTGTGTCCTGCCACACAGGGAAGCAGCCTCGGAAGCTCAACTGTGGTGCCCTCGCCTAGGGGGCATGGAAACTCCATGGGCCCCTCTGCCCAGCGTTGCCCACATTGGAGAATTCTCATCTTCCTCTCTGCCCGTCTCTGTGGACTGTCCTGCCAGGACCTGGCTTGTTGTGGCAGAAGTCCTGTGCCCAGTGCCAGTGACCTTGTGTGGGACAATGGCTCACATTGCCCGGTGGCTGTTTCTTGAAGCTGGTTTATGTCCCTGAGTATTTTTCTCTGCCTTGGGAGCCAGGGAAGGGGCAGCTGACGGCAGCTGGATTTCAGGCTGTCACAGGAGAGCTGGGTTCTTGGCGGGAGCCTGGCAGGGAGAGCATGGCTCCTGGCATCGGGTTTCAGAGGTGAACCTTCTTCCTTGACAGATCGCTCCTGGCCCTCCTCGCTCAGCAGGCTGGGGCCTGGAGTGTGACTCCCGTCGTGTCTGTGGGGCTTTGCTGAGGAATCAAGCGTGACTCAGGGCATCTCCATTTAGGAGCTGCCACCCATGGCAGGCTTGGGCACCACCCCTTCCTTACCTTACCAGCTCCTGCTGCCCCACCCTGGTAAAATCAGCAAAGCCAGTGTCTGCTTGCTTGGAAGCACTCAGCCCACTTCCAAGATGGGGAAATAGCTGCGGACTCAGGCTCAGAAGAACATCTCAGGGCCGGTGTGGAGGAGTCTGACTCAGGAGAGCTGTTGGTGCCCCTCGACTAAGGGTGTTGGGTTTCTCTCTGCCCTGCAGTGTCTCGAGGTGCTTTGGGCATGAGCCTGGCGGCCCCCCCAGAGGCTTCTCACCCGTGGATGAGGACGGGCGCACCCTAAGGTAAGGCTGCTTCCCTAGGTCGGGACCTCGGGGCTGCCTGACACACCCATTTAGGATCCCGGCCTTGGAGCTGAAATCATTGCACTGGGGCTGCGTCCCAGGCCCCAGAAGCTTGTCAGCCTCGGTACACATTGCCTATCATTGCTCACACATTAAATAATTATTGAACGTCTGGGCTGGTGTAGGTTTTTCAGGAGCATGGAGATTCTCACCTTTGTAGTCTCTAATAAGTAAACTCCCGAGAGGGCAAGGATTTATTGTGTTTCCTGTTTTGTTTAACACACAGGCTCAACTGTGGTGCACAGAAGAGACGCTGAGTAAATGTTTGTTGAATGAGTAAATGAACAGACTCTCTTCTCTAGCCATGTGGGCACCTAGGATGCCAGGCCACCGAGGTGCCAACTGACATTCCCTTTTATTTATGAAACATATTTTTGAGCGTCTGCCATACACCAAGCACTGGGAAAATGATGACAGTGCCTCCTGGGCTGTTGGTTGTTTCGGCTCCGCCACTGTGGTTGCTGGGTCCTCCCCAGCCTGAACAATGCTGTGTCCCCAGGATGCTGGCAGGTTTTATAGGAGCAGCTCCAGGGAACCTGACGCTGCTCATTGTCCTGACTGTCCAGAGAGTGGGGCATGGTGGGTCCCTGCTGGGACGGGAAACCCAGCCTCCTGGCTGTTTTCGTCTCTGAAGTCTGTGGCTCCCGGAGCTGTTTGTGAGCCACACTTTCCTTTGCTCTGACACCCTGCCGGTTTTCCTGTAGCAAGACAGGGTTGCGGGCCTGTGTCTGTCTGGCCTGGGAGGGTCAGGGTGTTTATGGATCTTGCAGGCAGGGGCCCTGCTGTGCTCAAGCCCACACGGAGGCCTTTCCTCTGTAGGGAATGTAAGGGAGGAAGAAGGGGGTGGAGGCTTCTGAGGTTCCCAGGGGGATGGGCCGGGAGAGTCCTGGAGCCAACAGATTTGCCTCATGTCTGTTGTTTTTGTTTTGGTTTTTTTGGTACCGGGGATCGAACTCGATCCTTGCGCTTGTGTAGCAGGCAGTGAACCCACTGTGCTAAATCCCCCGGCCCTGTCTGTTTTGTTTTATTTTGAAACAGGCTCTCACTATGTAGCCCAGGCTGGCCTCGAACTCGCAGTGATCCTCCTGCCTCAGCCTCCCAAGTTCTGGGAGTACAGGCCTGCACCACCACGCCTGGCTGTATTGGTAGATTTCTGAGCTTTGAGCTCCCCATCCTGGTGCATTCTTGTTTTGGTTGCCTCTGGCAAGAGTAAGGTTATATTTCATAGTTTTATTTTTTTGTGTTAATCTAAAAAAGGCCAGGTGTAGTGGCACATGCCTATAGTCCTAGCACTCAAGAGGCTGAGGCAGGAGGATCACCTTGAGTTTGAGGCCAGCTTGGGCTACATAGCGAGACCCTGTCTCAAAAAAAGTTGTGATTGCTGCCATCTTCGTCTTTCCTACCTGTGGCACTTCCGTGGGCCAGGTGTTTCAGATGACAGGCGTTTCAGACCTGGGCTTTGGTTGCCACCCCTCCTGCAGGGTTGAGGAACCTACCGTGGAGAAGACACATGCACCAAAAAAGTGTTTGAAATACTGTGGAGCTGGTGGATACTAAGAACACGGTCCTCCTGTTTAGATGAACAGGTTGTCCCTGAGGGCTGGCTTTCACCCTAAAGAAACTTAATCTTCTTTTTTTTTTGGTTCCTGGAATCGAACTCGGAACCTTGCACTTGTGAGGCAGGGATGGTGCCACTGAGCTAAATCCCCAGCCCAAGAAACTGAATCTTAAAGTTTTGTTTTGCTTTGTGTTTTTGGTTTTTGTTTTTGGTACTGGGGGTTGAACTTGGGTCCTTGCACCTGCGCAGCAGGTGGCGAAACCACTGAGCTAAATCCCTGGCCCAGTTTTGCTTTGTTTTTGCCTTTTGAGACAGGGTCTTGCTGTGTAGTTCAGGCTGGCCTTGAACTTGCGACAGTCTCCTGCTGTGAACCTGCCGAGTGCTAGGATCCCAAGCTTGTGCCACCGTGCTTGGCTAGACAGTCTCTTAAGTTGCTGAGTTGTCATGGTGGCCTTGAACTTGCAGTCCTCCTGCCTCAGCTTCCCAGAGTACTGGGATTACAGGTGTGCACCACCACACCTGGCTCTACATGTTATAAGTGACATTTTTAATGGAAGAATAACTTTTTAAAGACAAAATTATTGAGGAAAGTGACATTGTTTTATATTTTTGCCGAACTTTTTGTCTGGCAAGACAGCTGAGTTGTTGTATCAACTTCTGTATTTACGTCTGTATAGTATTGGACTTTAGTTGAAGGACATGAAGAAAATCGGGCCTCATGTGGATTGTAGTGTAGGAAGGAGTATTTTTAATAGCTTTGGCAGATAATTGTGGGTATTCTTATTGGATCCCATGTCTAACTTGAAAAGTAGTAGTTTCCTTAGGGTTAGCCACCATGAATAAATTTTTTATTTTTGTGACATTACAATCCATCTGTATTGATTAATTGATTCATTATAGTCCTGGGGTTTGAACCTAGGTCCTTCTTTGCACTGAGCTGCATCTCCATCCTTTTTTCAATTTTTATTTTGCGGCAAGGACTCACCAAGTTGCTCAGTTTCCCAGGCTGGACTTGAAATTGTGATCCTTCTGGCTCAGCTTCCCAGAGTGCTAAAATTATAGGCGTCACCACCATACCAGGTTCCCTTGGTATATTTTGTACTTTAAATGGGTCATTTACTTTGAATTGGTCATTGGGAAATACCAGTTCACTAAGTTACATAGATCTCTCAAATGTTGACATGTTTCATTTTACAGTATCAAGAATCATATTCCTTAGTATTATCACCAGTCTCATAAGAAAAATCTCCATGGATTGAGAAGCTGTCAAGTTTATACTAGATACATGTTTTTCATAATTAGAATTTTTTTCTTGAGACCTTGATTTGTCATTATGAACATTCTGTTAATTCTTTTTCTTTCTTTTTATTTTGTTGCGGTACTGGGGATCGAATTCAGGACCTTGTGCTTGCAAGGTAGGAGGCAATGCCACTAAGCTAAATCCCCAGCCCTCAATTCTTTTTCTTGAAGTAACAGGCTCACTTCATTAAATAAGAAAAAATTTATCTGGGCTCGTGGCGCACACCTGTAAGCCTATCACTGAATGAGTGGCTGAGGCAGGATGATCACATATTCAAGCCCAGCCTGAGTAGCTTAGCAACTTACCCAGACCTTGACTCAAAAACTAAAAATTTTAAAAAGCTGGAGATATAGCTTAGTGCAAAGGCCCTGGGTTCAACCCCCAGTTAAAAAAAAAGAAGAGTTTGAGTTCTTGCCTGAGCAATTTAGACTATCTTGTTTGTTTTTGTTTTTATTTTTGAGAAAGTGTCTCACTGTAGTTCAGGGTGGCCTTGAACTCTAGATGATCCTTCTGCCTCAGCCTCCCAATTTGTAGGATTATAGGTGTACGCCACCACATCTGGCTCCTGTCTCAAAAATAAAAAGGGTTGGTGATGTAGGGTGGTAGAGTAAGTACCCCAGGGTTCGATCCCCGATTCCACTAACAACAAAAAATAGTCCTAATAATCACTATGTTAATCTTTCTTTCAAGTAAAAAATGTTTCATGAAAAAAGTGGCTAGTTTCACTTGGAACTCATAGAAATATTTTGTTGTGTGTGTGAGTGTGTGTGTGTGTGTGTGTATGTTTGTGAGAGAGAGAGACAGCATTTTGCTAAGTTGTCCAGGTAGGCATCAAACCCACAATCCTCCTATCTTAGTCTCCTGAGTAGATAGGATTATGTTTGCTTTTTGTGGTATTAGAAATTGAACCTCAGGGTGCTCTAGCACTGAGCTGCATCCTTAGCCCTTTTTACTTTTTTAAATTTTTTTTTTTTTTTTGGTGCCAGGGATCGAACTTGGGACCTTGTGCTTGCAAGGCAGGTGGCGGAACCACTGAGCTAAATCCCTGGCCCCTACTTTAAAAAAATTTTTTTTTTTGGTACCGGGGATTGAACTTGGGAACTTGCGCTTGAGAGGCAGGCGCCAGAACCACTGAGCTAAATCCCCGGCCCAACTTTTTAAAATTTTGAGACAAGGTCTTGCTAAATTGCCTAAGCTGGCCTTGAACTTGCAATCCTCCTGCCTCAGCCTCCTGAATATCTGGGATTACAGGCATGCACCTAGCTAAGGTTCAGCCAAGGTGTAGTGAAGCTAGTTTTCACTGGCGTACCTTGACGTTCTGCAGTGAAATTGGCGCTTTTTTGTCTTCCATGCTTCTGAGAGTGGCCTGGCCCAGCAGGCTCTCGCTGGGCGTCCTGGGAGTTGCTGCATTCAGGAGGAGTGCCTGGTGCTAGCCTTGGCTGGTTGCCTCCCTGCAGCCCCTTGTGTGCCCTGTGCTTCCCACAGTGACAGCTGAGGCCCTAGCGGGAGCATCCCAGAGGGACAAGCATCCCGAGACACCGGGAGATACCGGGAGAGTTGGCGGGGTTTCTCTGCTGTCTTGGTCACAGATAGCTCAGATGGGCGTGGACTAAGGAGGGTGTGACCGCTGAGGGACTCGGTTCATCGGGAGGGAGGGGAGACCTCTCTGGAGACCAGCATCGGCTTTTTATTGCGCTTTAAGTGAGGCAGCCAGGTTCATGAGCAAATTACTTGTGAAGGAAAGAAGCACATCTCCCATCTAACTTCCACTCCAGAAGTAGTGCTAGGGAGTTCCTAGCAGCTGTAGAGGACGTGGAATGCCCAGGGAAGGAATTTGCACTCTGTTCTTCAGGCAGTGGGGAGCCGTGGATGGTTTTGGAGCAAGAAGTGATGGTGTTAATACTGTAAAAAGTTGGCTTGAATGGGCAGAGAGCAGAGGCAGGAAGGACAGGTAAGACTGCTGCGGTGTTCTCACCTAAGAAAGTCCTCTGTCAGTCCGGGTTCCCTGGGTTCATTCAGTTAAGGGCTTAGGCAGGGGGCTGTCAGCTACACAGATTAAGCACCCAGACTGCAGGAGTAACACCTGTCCCCATGGACAGTGACAGTACCCGAAAAGGTTACCTAAGAGGTTACGTAAAAGGTTCACAAATGTTGAAAATGAATTTATTTTTTTATTGTCAACACATAAAAAGCATGTTATTAAAAAATAAGAAACAAAAAATAAAACTTCATTCTACACCACTGTGTTTTAAATACCCTTCAGTTTCAATATGTTTGACTGTTAAAAAACCAGGAGAAGCTGGCCATGGTGGCACACACCAGGAGTTTCAGCACTAGGGAGGCTGAGGCAGGAGGATCACCTTTAGTTCAAGGCCAGCCTGGGCTACATAGCAAGACCCTTGTCTCTTTAAAAAAAAAAGCCAGATGGGCCGGGAATTTAGCTCAGTGGTTTCGCAGCCTGCTGCACAAGTGCAAGGACCTGAGTTCAGTCCCTAGTACCAATAAATAAATAAGCCAGGAGGGGTGTGAGAAGGGAAAAGGAGGACAAATTAGAGAATGGAAGGCGAAGTGAGGCTCCCACAGGGGAACAGCAGGCAGGACCCGAGCAGGCCGCTGAGGGAAGCCAGTGTGCACTTCCCTCCCAGAGTCCGGCTTCTGGCTCAGCACCCATGTCCTCGGCGCTTCTCTAAGGGCCTTTTGCTCTCTGAGGGGTCTTGAGTGGGTTGGGGCTGGGTGACCCGGAAGTGACTCTTGGCTCTGCTGTGAGCGCCTGTGGCGGGGAGGGTTTGTGACTTCGTGTCCCGGGCTTCGTAGTCTTCTCTGGGTAGTGCCACTTGTCCCTTGCGTCCTGAGCTTGGGGACAGATGGCTGTCTGACCCAGTCCTGTCCCAGCTGTCCGGCCTGGGCACAGACAGCCCAGCCCCCGATGAGGAGCCTCCGGGAGTGGAACAGCCCTCGGCATTCAGGGCGGTGCCCCTGCTTTTTCTCCTCCGCCTGGGCTGCAGCGCCTCCCTGCTGCCCTGCTTTGTCGTCGTGTCAGCAGCTCTCCTGGGACCATTACCGAGTCTGCCGTGGTGAATGGGGACACAGCTTGAACGAGTTCTCCTGTAAGGATGACCTCGCAGGAAGCAGCTCCTCTGTCACCCTGCTCGCCGCAGGCCTTCACTCTGATCCGCTGCAGCCCTTGGTCCTTACCGCTGCTCCTGCTCCTGGCACTTCCTGCGTCGAGGAATAGTTTCTTGGCTCCTACTCAGACAGGAGGACAGGCCAGCTTCCTTTCCAGCTGGCAGCGCTGGCCGGGCTGCACCACGCTCTCTGGGCCCCCTCGCCTCTCAGACAGGCTGTTTTTTTCTTGAGATTTTGTTTTTTGAGACGGTCTCGTACTCTTGGAGAGCCTCCTGCCTCAGGCTCAGGAGTGCTTGGAGTACAGGCATGTGCACCACCACGCCCAGCCTGACAAGTGCTGTTTGCATCTGCCTCGATCCAGGGCCCTACCCATCATCCCTGTTTCCAAACGAGTGAGGTGCGCTTCTCAGTTTCCCTCAGTTGCCTGAGACAATTTCTGGTTGTAACTGTCACTCTAGTACGCGATTTCTCTGGCCAGTGCTCTGTCCTGGGGCAGTGAGCAGCATCCCTGGCATCTGCCCAGTAGATGCCAGTTGCACTCCCCTCTCCCCAGTTGTAAAAACCAAGATCTCCAGGGGTTGCCACGTGGCCCCCGGGGACGGAACCCCCTCGTCTCGTGAGGACCGCTGCTACCATTTCCCCACTAAGGACTGCTGGCCATTCGGGTGTCCCTGTGAACACAGCAGGAAACGGTGTGACATGCACAGTTCTTTGGAAGTTTACCATCCTCAGCCACCTCACTGGGCCCTGGGGGGCTCTGGGGAGCAGTGAAGCAGTTCAGCTGCAGTGCGTTGCAGCTAAGCAAGAGACCACATGATGTCCACATAGCCGATGGGCACCTGCAGGGCAGAGCTGCCTCTGGAGCTGTGTGTTCGGGCTGAGCTTCTCCATGTTTCATGAGGTCTGGGCGGAAGGCTGCTTCCGGTAGCTCCTGGAGCTGCCTCGTAGCAGAGAGTGGGTGCCACACACTGTGCAGATGCCCGTGACCACTGTTCTTGGTGTCTGAATTGGCCAGGGAGGTGGTCAGTTGGGCTGTGGGCCCGGCATCCTTCCACCCCAAGCCCAGGTGGCTCTCAGAACCCACCAGGCCCGGGCAGTGCTCCCGAGAGAAAGCTTGTCTGCCATCCTGCATCTGGAGCTTGCTTGTCAGGTCCAGCCCACTTCCCGGCTATTCTCTGTGTGAAGCCTTCAGCTCCGTGCAGAGATCCAGGTGGGTTCCCGTGACCCCTGGAGCATGCTCCTCACAGCCCGTGGAGGGCTTCAGGTTGGAGAGGGGAGAACTGCCCTTCTCTTCAAGGAAGCCCCAAGGGCCTGCGGCTCAGTTCCATGAAATGAGCTCCTCTCTGCCTGCTTACATGGCAAGCAGGTAGAGGGAAAGACAGAGCCAGGCCTGGGGATACCACCAAGGCTCCCAACCTGGCGCTGCTTTGAGCTGGATGGGCATCTGAGCTGCGTTTCTCTCACACCCCCCGCATTTCCTTCCTTGGTGGTGAGTGGCACAGTGTCCCCCAGAGACATCCAGGCCATAGCCCCTGAGACCCGTGAATATTGTGTGTGGTGGCAAATGACTTCACAGATGTGATAAGTTAAGGATCTTACGATGGGAGATTATCGTGGATTATCTGGTGGGGCCTAGATGCAATCACAAGTGTCCTTATAGGGAGGTGACAGAGAGATTTGACACAGTTGAAGAGGCTGTGTGACCCAGGCAGCCAGATGCTACACTGCTGGCCTTGACTGAGGAGGAAGAGGCCAAGGAATGCGAGGAATGCAGCCCTGGCAGCTGGAAAAGGGAGAGAAAAGGATTCTCTAAGCAAAGTGCGCCTGTTAACCCAGTGGTTTTGGTCCAGTGAAACCACTTTTGGACTTCTGACCTCTACAACTATAAGAGAATAAATGTGTTTTGTTTTAAGCCACTAGGTTTGTGAGAATTTCTTACAGCGTAACAGGAAATAATACAGGGATCATCTGCCTCCAGGCCCAGAGGAT